CCAAAGCTTTTACTATTAGAGTTGTTTCTTTGGGTTACTCCCCACATGTCTTGAAGGCTTCTGTTAAAATGTGACTCTGTTGGAGTTGGTGATGAAAATATACCACAGCATGGAATAAGTTATTGGATGAGCTAAACAGAGTACAAAGGGAATGGGACACAGGGGGACAGCGAAGTTTTGACTTGGAAAGGGAAAAACGGTCCTTCTATCGGACAGGCCCAAGGCATGCCATTGTCAAGGTCCTGTTCAGGGTCCAGGTGGATAGGATTGTTGTGAGGAAAAAATGGGCCAGCTAGGTGGCATAGTTGATAGAGCTCTGGGCCTGGAGTTAGGAAGACCTGAGTTCAAATCCAGTCTCAGACACTTACTAGCCGTGTGTGACCTTGGGCAAGTCATTCCCCTATTTGCCTTCATTTCCTGTTACGTAAAATGAGGTGGAGAAGGAAATGGCAAACCACTCCAGTATCTTAGCTAAGAAAATCACAAATTGGGGCAGCTAGATGGCACAGTGGATAGAGCACTGGCCCTAGATTCAGGAGGACCTGAGTTCAAATCCAGCCTCAGAGACATAACACTTAACTGGCTGTGTGACCTTGGGCAAGTCACTTAACCCCCCCCCCCAACCCCCCCCCCCCCCCAAAAAAAAAGAATAGAAAAAAAAAGAAAAGATAAAAAGAAAATCCCAAATGGGGTCATGAAGTGTTGGCCGTGACTAACAACAACAAAAATGAGATAATAGATGAAAATACTGCAAAGCTTTATTTGCCTCATTTGTTAACTAGATAGAAGAACAAAAGCTCTTCCTAAGAGAGTATTTCTGTCAGAAAAATAAGATGTGTGAAAAGTACATCAGTGCCTCGGTTCCCACTTTTGTAAAACAGACAGTACAACGGTCCCTTCCTCACAGGATAGTTGTGAGGTAAAATTGAAGTAATATAGGAAAAGTATCTAGAGTTTCAGTTTCCTCTTTTATAAAATGGACAAGAGAACCATGGCCTTTTTCTAATATGAATTTTGTAAGGTAAAATGAGGTGATGTATGACAAGTACATCAAAGCCTCAGTTTGCTCTTTTGTAAAATGGACATAACAACAATGGCCCCTTCAGATGGAAATTATCTCTGTTTCCTCTTTCTAAAAAAAAAAAAATTATCCAGAGCCCCTTCTTCAGACAGTTTGTCAACCACAAGTGAAGTAATACATGAAAAGTATCTTGGTATATCAATATTCTCCTTTGAAAATTATATATGACATTAGTAGCCCCTTTCTCACGGTATTATTGTGACGTAAAAATGAGGCAATAAATATGTGGGACATAATTCAGCACATCAATTCCCTCTTTCTTAAAAAGCGAATTACCTTCCTCAGGTGGTGAAGGACAAATGAGGTAATATATGAATAGTACCTCATAACTTTAGTTTCTGTTTTTGAAAGATGAAAATTACAAAAAAAGGCACCTTCAGAAGTAGATTATTATGAGGTAAAACTGATGCCAAATAGAAAGTACCTCAGAGTCAGTTTATTCTTTCCTAAAACATAGATAACAGCAACAACCTCTTCCTTAGAGTGTTGCAGTGAGGTAAAAATGATGTAATACTGTACATGAAAATATTAAAGAGTTTTATTTTCCTCAGTTCTAAAATGGTCAAAAGAATACCAACGCTCAGAAAGTTTGAGGTAAAAATGAGGAAAGATATGAAAAGTACCCCAGAGCCTCAGTTTCCTCTTCCATAAAATGAAGATGACAACAATGGCCTCCCTCACAGGTTTATCGTAAGGTAAAAATGAGGTAATTTGTAGAAATTACCTCAGAGCATCAGTTTTTTCTTTCTTAAAAAGGAAATGGCTACAATGGTCTCCTGGCCAATAGGTTTTGGTGGAGAACCAATGAAGTAATCTATGAAATACACTTCAGAACTTTAGTTTCCACTTCTGTAAAATGGACATGAAAAATAATGGCCCCTTCCTCACATGATTGTTTCAAGATAAACATGGGGTGATGTATGGAAAGTAATTCAAACTTTGTTTACTCTTCTAGAAAACAGACATGACAACATAGACAGTTCCATAATAGGATTGCTCTGAGGTAAAAATGAGGCAATTTGTGAAAATAATTCAGAGTTTCATTTTTCTAAATTGTAAAATAGAAGAACAATGGCCCTTAGAGAGTTTTTGTAAAGGACAAATGGGTTAATTTATGAATGGTACCATAGAACGTTAATTTCTTCTTCTGTTAAATGGATGTGGAAAGAGTCATAGGAATTTTGCAAAGTATAAATGACATAATATAGAGAAAGTTCCTCAGTGGTTAATATTCCAAGTTTCTAAAATGGAGATGACAACAACAGACCCTTCCTCAGAGAGTTTGTGTGTGGTATAAATGAGGTAATATATGAAAAATGCCAGGACAATAATGGCTGATTTCTCACAGGATCATTTTTGGAGGTAAAAAATGGAAAGTACTCCAGAATCTCACTTTAATTTTTCCAAGAAATATAGATGACAGTAGCGACCACTTCCTCACACAGTTTTTTGGTGAAGTAAAAAGGACAAAATATTTGAACAGTATCTTATGAATCTATTTTTCTTATCAGAAAAATGGACATGACAATAATGCCACATCCTCACAAGAATGATGTAAGATAAAAATAAGGAAATAAATGAAAAAAACTTTAGTTTCCTCTTTTGAAAAAAATGGACCCTTCCTAAAAGGATTTTAAAATGAGGTGATATTTCCAAAGTACCTCAGAGTATTATTTTTTTTCTTTATTAAAAGGAAAATGACCCAATGGCCACTCTCAGAGGTGATTTGTGAGGGAACAATGAGGTAATATGTGAAAAGTACCTCAGAACTTTTTCTTCTTTTGTAAAACTGACATCAAAGCTATGGTCATTCACTCACATAAGAAAGTTAAAAGTGCTGAGGTAAAAATAAGGTAAGATATGAAAGAAGTTTATTTTTCTCCGCTTTAAAGCATCAGAAGAACAACGAGCCCTCCTCAGATCGTTTCTTGTGAGGTAAAAGTGGGGAAAATCTATGAAAAGTACCTCAAGTGCTGCTTTGTCCTCTTTTGTAAATGAACATGGCAACAAGGGCCCTTCCCTCAGAGAATTTTTATGAGGTCACATTGATGTAAAAAATGGGAAGTACCTGAGAGCTTCAGTGTGTGTTCTTTGTGAAAATGGAGATAACAAGCTACTTTACAGTATTTTTGTGAACTGACTTGAAAACAGACCTTTTTCAGATAGTTTTGGGGAGGTCAAAATAAAGTAATCTTTGAAAAGTTCCTCAAGTGCTTCAGTTTCCTCTTTTGTCAAATGGACATGGCAACAACCACACTTCTCCAGAGGATTTTTTTGAGATGCCACTGAGGTAAAAAAATGTAAAGTGTCTGAGATCTTCAGTCCAATCTTTCTAGAAATAGAGACAACAAGCTCCATCCCTTCCTCAGAGTGTCTTTGTGTGGTAAAAGTGAGGTAACATCAAAATTACCTCGGAACTTTAATTTCCTCTTTTGACAATTGGACAGGAGAATAAGGAACCCTTCCTCATGGGATTTTTGTGAGGTAAAAATGTGGTAATATTGGGAGGAATCTGCTGCTTCTTTCTTCAAAAGAAGATGACCCAGTGAGCCTTTCCCTCACAGATTCTTTGAGAGCTAACAATGAGGAGATGTGAGAAAAGTCTCTCAGAACTTTATCTTCCTCATCAGTAAAACTGACTTAAAAACAGTGAATATTTTAGTGAGGTAAAAAAATGAAATTACCCTCACAGCTTCATTTTTCTACTTCATAAAACGGATATGACAACACTGGTCCTTTCCTCAGAGTATTTCTGTGGTAAAAATGTGTCAGCATATAACAAATATCAGAAAGCCTCAGTGTCTTCTCTTGTAAAACTGAAGTAACTACAACGGCCCCTTCCTCACATAAGATTGTTGTGATGTACAAATGGGATGACATACAGAATATACCTTAGTGTTTCTGTTCTCTTATTCATAAAATGAACATGACAACATTGATCCCTTCCTCAGAGTTTTTCTGGGGTAAAAATCAGGTAATGTAAGAAATACACCTCAGATCCCGTCAGTTTCCTCTTGGGTTAAAAAAATAGCTAGCTAGCTAGCTAGATATGACAAAAATGGTGCTGTGAGGATCAGATCTGCTAAGCTATATAGACCTTTAAATGTGAGCTATTATTTTGGTTCATGGGATGTGTTTCATCCCTGCCTTGTTGATCAACTCATTCTGTACAAGATCCGGATTGCCTCATTTATCTTAGATAAATACAGCCACCTTCCTTGCCTGTTCTCTGCTAATCACTTTTGCTTTACCTATCCCCATTCCATGTTTATCTTGCTTGGAGGAGAGGTGGCATGCAGGATGAGTGCAGTAAGCATTTTGTACCCTATGCTCTGTTCTCCCAACCCTACTTCCCCGCCATGCCCCCCGGGCTCCCCTTGGCACTGATCTAGTTTTAAAGCCTCTCCTCCTTTTCTTCTGTGTGGGTAGGCAGACCTAAACCCCCAGTCGGAAAATTCGCTTCCCTGGAGACGATTTCCTACACTTCCGGCCATTTTTTTTTTTTTTTTTGGTAGCTCAGGCCTGAGGCTGTGAGAAGCTCGTGACCTCTCCCCAGGCAGTCGCAAGATGGCCACGGTGGGCGGAGCTAGAGTTTTGGCGGGCTCTGAGTCCTCACATCCCCGGGGCACGCGAAGCTGACACTTCTCCTCGTGACGTAAGCACCTGGCGCCAGCTGGCACATTTAAGCTCGCGCTCTGTCTGTCAGTCAAAGCTGTGGGGACGAGGGCGGGGGCGGTGGTGTGTGTGGTAGTGGGCGATTTTCCCTCTTCTCCTACTCTGATCTCTCCTTTTTCTTCTAAATTACCTCAAAAAAAAAGATTTTGTCTGCTGCCTTCCAGTACCGCTAGCCTGTGGCAACCGCGCATCTGCCGCCTCAAGTTCGAAGGCCGCTGGTCCTGAGTTGCCTGAGGCGATTTTTGCCATGGCCTCTAACGCTGATTTTATCGTGGGAGGACAATATCAACTAGTAAGGAAAATTGGGGCTGGGGCTTTCGGGGACCTCTATCTGGCAACCAATCTGGCAACGGGCCAGGATGTAGCCGTGAAGATTGAATCCCAGAGCGCCAAGAGACCTTATTTGTTGTTTGAAAGCAAGCTCTATGCTATCCTCCAGGGTGGGGTGGGCATCCCCCGCGTGCATTGGTTTGGACAAGAGAAAAATTACAGTGCTCTTGTCATGGATTTGTTGGGGCCCAGCTTAGAAGACCTCTTTAATTACTGCCATCGTAGGTTCAGTTTGAAAACTGTCTTGATTTTAGCTGACCAGATGATTACCAGACTTGAGTATCTGCATAGTAAGAATTTCATACATAGGGATATCAAACCTGATAATTTCCTGATGGGCGTGGGGCGTCACCGCAACAAGTTGTTCCTCATTGATTTTGGTTTAGCTAACAGGTATCGAGACAGTACGACCAAAGAACATATCCAGTACGGAGAAAACAAAAATCTAACTGGCACTGCTAGGTATGCCAGCCTTAATGCCCACCGTGGTGTAGAGCAAAGCCGTAGAGATGACCTGGAATCACTTGGCTATGTGCTGATGTATTTCATCAGGTCAAGCCTTCCCTGGCAGGGACAAACAGGGGTAAACAAGCTGGAGAAATATATAAACATTGGTAAAAAGAAGATGGCCACATCTATTGAAACATTATGTCAGGGCTTTCCACCAGAATTTGCCACATACCTCAACTACTGCCGCTCTCTGGGCTTTGAAGACACTCCAGATTATTCCTATCTGAGGCAACTATTCAGCGTCCTTTTTAAATCGCTGTCCAAACCAAACCAGCAGGGTGATTGTACCTTTGACTGGAGCATCCTGAAGCATAGGACACAGCGGGCAATTGTTGCTGGTGGGCTTCGGGATTACTACCCAGTAAATTTCTAAGCAGGAAGAGCAGAGGCAGTGTTGCTGTATTTTTTTTTTAATATTTTTATATGGATTTTTACTTTATTTCAAAAAATGTTATCTTATGAGAACTTTTACAAATTGTTGGAGCAACAGTTGATGGTTCAAAATGCAAAAAAAACCCCACCACCTTTATTTCAGAAAGAAAAAAAAAAGTTGAAAAAAAAACTCTTAATTTCAGAAAGCAAAAAAGGAACTTAATTTCAATATAAACTGGGATGTTAGGCAAGATCTTGCAGGCCCAAACTCCATCAGATTTCTAAGCTTGGCACTGATAAGGCAAAGAAGATCGCAAGTTAATACTCGCCAGTTCTAGAAATACCATAACATTATAGACATTTGCCAATGGTTAGGGCAATCTTTTACAACTTAATTTTAGTATTAAGTAGCTCTGGGTATCCTGATAGGGCATGTAGTGTCCAGTTTTTTGGATTCATTTTTTCATTTCTTTCAAGTGTAAAAGTTTACTAAAGCGGTTGGCACAGGTCATTTTTGAATATACTGCTTTGAGATCTCATTCAGAAGAACTGTATGAACAGTCTTTAACCCCATTTGGAGCATTTGTAACCATTCACAATTGGGCACACTCAGATTTTTTTTTTCCCCCTCCCAGAAGTTTGGAAGTTGTAAACCTTTCTTAAACTTGCTAAGTTATACGTGCAAGTCAGCAGCTGGAGAAGTCAGTTTTTTTTTTTAAGGATCTGAAAGACTGTCCATTTACCAACCTAGAAAAAACATCATCTTAGATGAAGATTTAATAAAAGGGCTTGTCAGCTGCTAGATTATCTTTTAGAAATCCATTAACTGTACAGTGTCCCTGGAATACAGAAGAAAAACAGCATATTTGCCGCAGAAATTTACTAAACATCATACAATGGAACCTCTGTGTAAGTTGCTTAGTAAATGTAATCTCTGTGAAAACTGTTCTTTTTTATTTGAAATGGAAACTTTTAAAAAATGCTAATTTAAAAATTAATTTTCTGTAAGAAAAAAACGTGCTTACTAATTTATGAGAGAATCAGCGTCTCCATCATTTTTAATAGATTGTTTTAGGGACATTGATCATCTTCCTTTGCAGATCATTTTAGATTTGGCGTTGTTACTCCTTCTTTTGGCATGCTTTTTTTTTTCCTGCCTCAACGGAAAAGGCATACTTGCTTTTAATATCTATCTATCTATATTTGTCTTTCTGTCTATCTACACACACACACACACACACACACAGGAATAGGTCTTGCTGAATCTCAGTACCTAGTACTGTACCTGTCAGGATTTGATGCAGGCAGTTTGTGTTGCTATTGACTAAACAGCTATCCTGATTTGCTATGGTCTTTTAGAAAATTAGAATGGAAGTGTTGAAAGGCTTTGAACAAAGGAGATTCCGCCATCCTTGTGAAATGGCTATGATCGGATTGAAGTGAGCTCTTAGCTTCTCTCTGTATGGTGTTCACATGATTACTGCCCCCAGCCCCTCAAGGCTGCCTGTATGAGTGCTCTTAATCTCTTTCTCTTCCTTTATGTGTGACCCATCAGAAAGAGGGATAAAAGAAGCCCCCAATTCTGATTGCTGGTAGTACATTGAACAGATCAACTTATGCATTTATAGCATGTCAGCATAAATATAAAAAAAAACCAAAAACCTGCTGTCTGAAAATCCTGCCAGGTGTCTCATGTGTAAATGTAGAGTTCTGGGCATTAAGGTTGTAAAATCCTGAGATAAGTAAAGATTTGTTTGATGTCTCTTAATTCCATATAATATATATATATATATATATATATATATATATATATATATACATATTTTTAATTTGGAAAAAAAATGCCTTAAAGACAATTTCATGATTACCATATTCAGCCATTTAAGATTTATTTCAGAACTCCAGTCTTAAAAAAATAAATGAGCTCTTGGGGATAGGCAGCATTTTTAGGAATTTTTTTTTCTTGCCTGGTAAGTATTAATTGGTTTGGTTCCTTAGTAGGAAATTAGTCTCTAAAACTGATTTTTACATATGGTATATGTAAAAGGAAAAAAAAAGTTTGACTTTGGTAATAGCAGGGAAAAATATTTTCCAGGGCTTCTACTTTCATTTACTATGCACTTAGATTACATACTTTTTCTGGAATATATTTGTTCTGTGTTGTTTGGTTTCTTTGTCATTTGAAAAAAAAATTGTGGTATAGTCTGAGTCTTTTATTTAAGACTGTTTAACATTTTAAAGCAAGATGCAAGTATTCATTCTGAATGTTGCCATTTTGTCTGCAGCTAGAATTGGAATGTCATCCGTCTTCGAGCCACCATGCCTCTTCTTCAATTTGACAAGAGAAGAATTAGAAACTTGGTGAATTTACTAACATCTTGACTGGAGATGAAGCTCATTTGGACAAAATGCAGATTACATCTTTCCACAAAAATGATGGTTCCGGTTGAAGACACAACATTCCATAATTAGACGATCTGGACTCTTGTACTGTGGCTTATTTTGCTGAATTTTAATGTAACCAAGGGGCTGGCCAGGGAAGAGATTAGGGGGGTTATTACTATTTCTACTGAGATGACCTAATGGAGGGGGTATAATTTTTTTTTTTAATGTTGAGAAGTTGCCATTTTAACTTATTTGAATGTCTCTATTTGGAAAAAAAAATGATGAGCAAATGCAAGGGTGGGGACAGACTGGTTTGATCTCATACTACTGTACAAATGTTCTAATGATCTATACATGCATTTTAAAAGGTGTCATTTGTGTTTTTCTTTACCACCTGCTAAGAAAAGGGGATGTAGAGGAATGAATGTGCTGAAGACTGAGTTTTTCTCCTTCAAGGAGACTCTATTTCAGGTGTGTAAGTAGTCAGATTCTCAAAGTTGCAAAGGTTTCCCCTGGGAATAAGACTTGGCCAACAATGAAAGTGACCGTTTAATGACCTAAAGGATTCACTGATGCTATTCTTTCCACTTGCTACTAGTAGATTGCTTCACTTGCTGTGAAGATACAGTAATCTGTATCTATCACAAGACTCTGAGTGACTAGCCTGGACCATTTTTCTATGTTGTCATCTGTTCCCCAGCCCACGCCCAGCATAGACATCTGTCCTGTTAGACATATTTAGAAGCTTCATTAATACAGAAATGAACAGTAAATTGGAGCGGTCCCAATAGTGACTTACTTGT